ATCTCTGTGCAGCCCATCAACCTCTGCCTCACTTCCCCCCACCAAATGGGAGTCCGACACCTCCTCCCATATAGGAGCTCAAAAGGAGGCATACCAATACTCGAATGATGGTTGTTGTTGTAGGAGAACTCAGCCAATGGTATGTAGGTGTCCCAACTTCCTCTGAAGTCCATGACACATGCCCGTAACATGTCCTCGAGCGTCTGGATCATTCGCTCGCTCTGTCCGTCTGTCGAGTCCACTCATTAATCCACGTCACCAGTCGCGACTCTAATCGACGAGTTGAGGCACCAACTCGTCGAGTCACTCCACATATCTCAAAATAAATACTTAAAATATTATACCTGGAAATCCGGATGTTACATCAAACTTGGTCAGCACAGCTGAGTACGCCCAGCGTACACGAGTATTGACCAAAACGGGCTGCGTTGACCTCGAACGCTAAGCGTTCCTGGGCTACGCCCAACGTTCGCGAGGGACTTCTTTCCTTTCTTAATCCTTAAGCTCTTTTGTCCATAATCTAGATCCAACCCTAAAATAACGTCCTTAACCATAAAGTTTCTAACTTTATGGTCTTGCATGGCCATTAAGTGTCGAAACACAAAAACCCTAACTACTTAACCCATTAAGACCTTGTAACTCATGCATGGAAGGAATCTAACAACCAAAATTAAATTTTTATGTTTCTAGATGCTCCAAAACGTCTGAAAGGACAGCTTATATGGATTAGAGTAATCCATACTCATAATACCAAGCTTATGGACCAAAAGAACACCATTTCATAACTGAACAAGATCGAAACAACTCTTAATCAAGTTCAGAGCTTTTTACCTCCAAATGATGCCAAATGATGTTGCTATTTTGGATCCAAAGTGTCCCACTCCTCTGAGATGATCTTCTCTTCTTCCTCTCTCCTTCAAGGTTACCAAAACACACACAAAAGATCAAGAATGTTCTAAAAATGGATTAGGGTTTGCTTGGGGACAAATATGGGTTGGAGGCTAATGAAAGGAGATAAATTTGGGACTTAAGGATGCTTAAATAGAGTCTAAACCCTAAAAATTAGGGTTTGCACTCTGGCCACCTACGCCCAACGTTCCTTGAAGAACACCCAGCGTACGTACCCAACTCCCAAAATTATGAAAATGCCCTTTTAGTCCAATTTTGCAATTAATTCACATCCAAGGTCTAAAATGAAATAAATTCTCATACTTACAATAGTGTGGGATTAGGGTTTTATAGCTACCACAATATATGAAATCCTACAAATATCACGACTTCACAAACATGAGACAACATCATACTCCAACACTCAACATTATATGTTCAATCCATATGTTATCAAGACAAAATCATCCTAACAAATGTTTGTCCATTTCGCTCAAGAAAATGTAATAGCTCGTACGAGAACAACAATTATGAACAAAAGCAAGCGACTAAGCTACAATAACAACTAATAATGAGTTTGTTAAATAAAGAAAGAACATATGAAACAGTCAATCAACCAATATCTTAAAATATGAAATGATGGAAACAATGGAACCACATGTACCAAAATGAAAAGAAAATAGAGACAATATTTTACATAAACTAAAATGCCAAAACATAAATTCAATTCATTACAAATCTCCGCTCCCAACTGAATCGCTCTCGCTCTCGCTCTCGGACCAATCATGAAAAGCATCAGGAAACTTCATATTTGATGAAAAAACAAAACCTTTAGCTTCCAAACGCTTCAGAACCTACCAACAAAAGAGTACAAGTGAGAAGATAACAAATATGGGAATCTTGCAATGACATCTTGTTAGAATAGAAAGAGACCCAAGAGGTAGAAGCAAAGATATACATAGCTTCATACAAATGAGTTATAAGCAGCACATGTATAACATAGATTAACAAATAAGAACGTTGAGAGGGGTTTGTAGTTTCTGACTTTCTTCTACAATGTAAATGTATGGGGATGTTTGGAGGTGCATTTAGATAGAGACTACTATGATTTAAAGCAGATAATCAGTTGATTACAGATAGAGATAGTTAGGGTCAATTCTTTATTTAACAATAATCAGAAATCGTAATCATAATCATTTTTAACCAAACACTCAAAATTTACATTTTAATGATCATATGATTTTTACATACATATAAATTGTCAGAGGAAAGCAAAATTTTACCTTATAACAGAAAATCCCAATTTTAAGATCCTTGACATGGGAGAGGTTTAGTATAAATCCTTTAAGCATCTCTTCTTCATCTTCTTTATGCGATGTTCCCCAATGCCCTATCCTTGTATAGTCTAACTCTGCTTGGACTAAAGAAGGCACGTTTACCAACAAAAGCTTCCACAACAACAAATCATCTATGATTGTTAGTGATGAAATATTAGGAGCATTGATTTCAATAATATCGTTAGGAATATCATATTCATGCTGAGGATCATCATATCCAAAGAACACCAACTTCTTAACGCTTTTTGAGGTGATATTGAGCAGCCTGTAACCATAACAACGTTCTAATACCAAAGTTTCCAATACAGGACTACCAGATAATATGTTTTCAATCAGTTCTTCATCTAAATTTCCATCTGAAATCCTCAAACTCCTAAGACATTTCCAACTAATCGCCCCAGCTGGATTCAATATGCAGCCTGATAATCTCAAATCAGTAAAACATGAACTTATGAAAAAAAAATTGATCTACCAGACACTCATCTTCAGAATCCATATCCCATAACGTTAAGTAAAGCTCTTCAACATTACATCTTGTAGCATAACGTATCCAATTGTTGACTTTCGATTCAAAGCCATTATAATAAGTTGCATCCACTTCGAATTTCTTAAGCTTCACTTGCCGACATTGAACTAGGGTTTTGTCGACGCACGAAACAAAATCGGACCATGGTTGATTATCCTCAATATGTATGAAAACTAAAGAAGAAAGCGCAGTCCAAAGATTTGTCCATCGCTTCGAAAGTGTACCTGTTCTAATGGCACCTTTTGTGCAGGGTAAACGAGACAGGATTTCTAGAAGCAAGCAATCCGGCAACTCACTGATTCGATCGTCTTCTCCCTTCTCCATGATTTTTTGCAACTTTCGGGGAATTTTAGGTCCGTCTTCCACCGTTTCCATGGCGGTTTCCCCCACGAAGACTACACAAAACTCAAATCAGGCGCATAAGGTTACAATTGGTGAAATGAAGTTATGCTTTCACCCCTAAACTTTGAAAAACTAAACATTCAGTCCTTATAAACATAACCACTACTTTGATATTTAATTCATTCTTTATTGATTGATTATCACCGATTGTTAAAAATGCCCTCTAGAAATATAAAGCAAACCAAGTTATGGTAATCTCTCACGTCTCTTACACTAGCAACAAAAGTTATAAAGTTGTAAATTGTTAATCCAGTCAACTTTGACATTGGAGAGAAGAAATATAAAACAAACCAAGTTATGGTAATATCACTAAAGTCCCATGTTTTTGGCACTAAATTGGAAAAAGCCCTGCATTTAATTTTCATTTACTGTGACCACGATATTTTCATTGACTTATTGTTTGAGGGCAAAGAGCCGGTTTCACCGGTTTCAGCAGGTTGCATAGCTTAGTCGAACATTGGAGGTAGTTTTGGGTCGATTCTTCTCTCCAACGTCAAACCAAAAAGATGGTAAGCTCCTCCAACACGCACACACAAGGTTACAAAGAGTGGGCTTTAAGGAATCGTTGGTCTGAAGATTTGAGATGCGAATGTGATGAACCTGTGACATTCTCGATCTCCAAAACTGTCGATAATCCATGGAGGAAATTCAGGGGGTGTCCAAACTATCAGGTAATATTAAGTAATTTTTTGTGGTCTTGTTGAACCATTATGAACAAGTGATTGTTGTGCAAGACTCAAAAAAAATGCGAATTTTTTTATGGCTCGATCCACCCCTGCCAAACACTTACTACAAGGAGACTATGAAGAAGTTCCATATGGATTTGGAGGAGGCTAACAACAATAAAGCATTTGGAATGGAGGTTTTGAAGCTTTCGGAGGAGGCCAAGAACAACAAAGCAGTTCAACTGGATATTTTAAACCTGTTGAAGGTGGAGCTACTTATGATGGTCATGCTTTTGGTGGTGGTGATAGTGATGAGGTTTATGGTTCACAATGTTATGCTTAAAGCACTGTGAAGTTGTGGGCATTAGTTAGGTTCAGGTGGAATGGTAGTAGTAGTTTAGGTGTAAGGGTATTTTGGTCAAGTTAGGCAGTAAGTAGATGCATGTGTTATGTATGGCAATATTTTGGTTTTGTAAGAGATGACAATGACAACAACTTATTATGTCTTAATGATAACAATGTATTAATTCCTTTAACACATACATATGTATAAAAATAAACAAATCATGGAAGGTAACAACAATTACAATTAAGTCATTTAAGACATACATATCAATGTCAGTTAACAGCCCAAAAATGGGAATGTACTTTACAATGCTTCCCACAAACCACTATCATACCATTTAACCTAATTAGAACCAAACTTCCAATTCTACCAAACATTATGGATATGAATTGGAAGCTTGTTACCAAAAGACAAGTGTACCCAAA